TTCCCTAATAGTAATAATGTGCTCTAAGAAGTAACTGATTTGTTCTTTTTGCATAGAATGACCAGATTTCCAAACTGAAAAACCCAGACAGTCCAGCTCTTGCCCTTAATTTCAAAATGGTTATTACAAATTGAATTACAATCTTTTCAGGTATATTATCATTGGCATTGTTTTTAAAATCAATTTCAACTAATTTTTTTGGCGATAGACACAAAACAAATGAGCAAAATAGTCAAACTACACATCCAAGAAATATTTAATTATTCATTTTATCCAATTCATCTTAAAATAAGCTAAGAATCCATAACATTTTCAAATATATTACTTTTAGGTTTTAGCACTACTTTGAAACTTTTTTAGATATTTATGTAAAGAATGAATCGAGGTTAAAAGTTTTAGTTTTTTCATTAAATAGTCATAAAATTTAGTACATGGAGGTGTAAAATGTATTTTGAGGATAAGATCTGTACAGAAGTGGATTTCTCATAACTTTCGAGATAGTTTGGCGGCAGGAGAGTACGTGTTATAATAATGTGCAAGTCAAGTGGACAGACATATTACATTTTTGATTCGAGGTGACTGACAGTTTGAAGTATTTATCATAACACCAGGATATTTTGTGCGTTCCGAGAATTTTTATGGAGACACTTAAACAAACTGCCAAAAAACTAGACTGTCTCGGCAAAACTGGGATGTGTAGTCACTCTTTTTTTTTGCAAAACCAAAGTCCGTCAGTAAAACAATAAATTATTTTGGAAGTTTTGATGTAAAGTTCTTTGCTCACTCTTGATAACCTTAATACTATATTATGTATTTAAATGGTATGTGATTATACACTTTTTCCCTTATATGATGTGTCAAGGTCGTCGCGAGAACGAGGCTGAGCATTTTTTGACGAGTAAACAAAGCAGATTATCTCCAGATTTTTACTTCTAACTACAGCCAATACATAAGTCATCAGACGGTTAAATATAAAGATCCAGACACAAATATAACTTATCAAACCTCACACCTTTCAAAGGTAAGGTTTAGTAATGCATTTGTGTCTTTTAAGAGGAAAATAAATGGGATAACTACAGTCCTATTGGCGATAATAGAAGCTTTTTAAGCCTATATTAGAGTTAACAACCAACTTTATACTTTACATCTGGCTGTATATGAACAAACCATATAACTTCGACCTGCCCCTTCTTATTATATTCTGATGTTTATGTTTCAGAATATATTTATAATACCTAGGACTTAAAAGAAGATAAAATACAAACATAGAAAAGGTTACTGCTTGTGTAGATAAGGGTAAGGCCATAATGGTGTAGATTTGGTGCATCTGGATTTTCAGAAAGCATTTAACAAGGTGGCACATAAAAGACTTGTAACAATATCTATAGGTGTGGGAGATAAGTAAGTTAATTGGATAGAAGAGTAGCTGGATGGAAGAAGGCAGAGGTTCTTATAAATAGAGTTCAGTCATACTGAATTAATGTCACAAGTGAGGTACCTCAGGGCTCAGTCTTAGGACCTTTGCTCTTTTTGATTTACATCAATGATCTGGATGAAGGAAGGGTCAATAAACTACTTCAATTTGCTGATGATAATAAGGTATTTGGTGTTGCTAGCTGTGAAGAAGATGCTGTTACTTTACAAAATGATTTACATCATTTAGTGAGTTGGATGAATAAATGGCATAAATGCAAGACAATGCATGTGGGTTATCATAATTTGAATTATAAGTATAATTTAGGTGGAAATAATCTTAACAGTGTCATGAAAGATAGGGATCTTGGGGTAATGGTTGGTCAGTTTAGTGGTATGGCAAATAGGATTTTATGTTGTACTTACAGTAAGGTAAGGTAAATGGCCCAAAACTGAACGTAATACTCCAAATGTGGCCTAACTAGTGACCTATACAATGAAATTATAATATCTTCAGACTTGTATTCAAAATTACTGTAAATACAACATAAAATCCTATTTGCTCTACCACTAGCAACAGCACACTCTTTGGATGGCGTAAGAAACTGATCAACCACCAAGATCCTTTTCTTTCATGACACTGTTAAGGTTATTCCCATCCAAATTATACTTAATAGTGTCAAGTGTTTTCTGAAAATCCAGATACACCAAATATATACCCTTACCCTCATCTACATAAGCAGTAACCTTTTCAAACCATGTCAAAAGATTTGTAAGGAAAGCTTTTCCCTAAGTGAAACTATGTTGACTATCCAATAAAATTCTAAAATTTGTTAAATGACTTTGCAAAGCATCTTTTATCACACTTTCCAAAACTTTCCCACAACTGGTGTAAGGCTAATAGGCCTATAATTACTGGGTGATAATATACTGTAACTGGTAATTATTAGCTTCAATGCTCTGTTATCATAATGGTTCCATAATTTTATCTTAAAGTTACAAAACATTTTGAATAATTTAACGTAAAAAAGTGATTTGAAGGCATATAGATGAGTATTTAAGCACCTTCACCACACTTTGTCAATGGTCACGTGTTAGTTGTCCACTCGTCAAAATAAACTAGATCAATATAGCCGCCGAACCGTTTCTCTGTGTGTACTGAGGAGCTGTGATTAGGGCGAAACTACAGTCAACAGTAGAGGAAGTATGGAATAAAAAATAGGTTAGGCTTCTACATCATCCATGCATTCTCATTTTCATTGAAATAATGCGTTTTTGTGAGGAAAAGAAAAATTCACAGTTAAAAACAAATTAACCCTTACTTTTGTATGTCGCTGCTACACATCCTGGATGGAGCAGTATCATTTCTTCTTATAACACTTAACTTTATCTCTTTTGATCTTGATTTAACAACATCTAGTGTTTCATGCAATTTTGCTACATTAATTTTTTCTTACTCCATCTAATACTGCCTAATCGTACATTGACTCTTCTCCTCCAGTAGGCTCTTAGATTTTGTTAAAGCTCATAGTTATGTCTTTGGTTATTATATATATATCTGGGAATGAAGAGGCAGTGACATTTCTTCCAGTACATTTATTCCGGGCATCCCAAATTACTACCAAGTTTAAATAACAATAAGTATTCGCGCTTTCTATGTCTGAAGAGCCTTTATTGACAAAGTAATTACGAAGGAGAGAGATTAAGATAAAAATTGTTTCAGTATAAATTTTGCATATTTTCTAAGCGTGTGTGTGTGTGTGTTACAACCACATCGGTCTATCTGCTGTGCCCACTGAGGGGAATCGAATCCCCTGAGTCTAACATTGCAAATCAGAAGACTTACCGCTGTCCTACCGTGAGACATTTTCTAACTCGTATTTTATATTAAATGTGCAAAATAGTTCCGCTGAATAGCATATTACAATTCACCTGCCTCTAAATTTGGCAAAGAATAACACTGTACTACTGTGTTTTACAAAATCAACGCATTTTATTATTAAGCAAAAGATCAAGAAAATCGACAATATATTCTTTACGTCAGTTCAGATACTAAACATTACTATCAATAAAAATATAAAACATAAAAAAAACAATACGACGTTAGTTAGATATACATAATTGATGTGCTTATTTCACGAATGAAGTTTCGTAATGTCGATTAATTCGAAAAACAGTAGAAAACAAAACAAAAACGGAGGTTAGCCGTTGTAAAAATAAAACAAAAATAAAGGGAAGTTCATACTCGTTTTCGGTGGAGAGTTGAAAAGCAAAAATGCTAAAGAAAGAACTATTATTGATAAATCGCTATTTCAGTTTAAACTTTGCGTAAATAAAATAAAATAATACATGTTTGTGCACAGTGTATATTGATAACTTTGAAACATTAAATAAGTAAGATTCCGCTTAACAGATGTAGTACTAGTAGTACGAACTGTACCAAGGCCGAGATTTTGATCAAAGTAATTTCGGCCTTGAACAAGTTGAGGTAAAACTAAAATACTGCGGTTGGACTTAGAGAGCTTACGGCAGTGGGTATTACAAGTTACAATGTATGTGGATTGAAAAGTAAGAGGTCTACTGTATGAATCTTTAAGAGTTTATTTATTATTATTCTTTTTTGTTATTGTTACTGGATATATATTTATAATAATTTGATTAAGAACACTGTAATACATTTGTAAGAGGTATGACCTATTACTCAGTGTCAGTTGTGCATTTAGTTGAATTATAAAAGGTGAGTGGACATTGGGCGACAGGTAACTGACAGATAAGTTCAGAATCAAAAGTATCCACAAAATACAGTTTTACGAAGTGTACCACAGACTAGTAAAGTACAGAGAATAATTTCGGTTTTGAACAGTACTTGAAGTTGAAATAACAAATAATCAAAATTTTTATTCACAATGATTAATGATTTATACATATCTTCACAGTATAAAGACAAATGTAAGAGGAGAAATAAAAAATAATTGATGCTGATAATTTCGTAATTTTTGAGCCTCGACAAGATTATTTGGTATAGCACATAGAACATCATTACAGTTGAATTATTTCTTGTTGCATATGTATGATAAGGTGGATCACTACAAATATTTCTATGACTACAGAGAAAAATATCAAATTATCTGACTTTAGCAATAACATTAAGAGTAGTTATCACAGCGCTTTATATACATGTATATTGAATGTTGCTGTTAACATTATGTCCGAGACTTTTAACATTTTCTACTTTGAAAATAATAAAGTAAAACAATTAAACTTGGGACATTTAATGATAAGATCTAAATATGTTTAGGTTTCAGTCAATTTTAAACTTTAGTCAAACAATTATACCCCAGAACAACCTCCTGTATCATTTTTACAGTAGATATAGGTCATGAAATATTGTAAAGTGTTGATATAATAACACTAGAAATGCTAAGTCTAATTGTTAACTGTTGTTAAAACAATGAGAATAGAAAATATAATGTTTTACCTGATGCTGTACTTTTATATATGTGTACAAGGATTTACTTAATGGAATTAGAAATTTTATGAATATGATATGAATGATGATGTGTATTTTTTGTTTTTTTCTTTTCAAGGTAATCAAATGATTGTAAAGATTCTTAAATAAACCTCGGTGGTTTTAACCATGTTTGCTATTTGTTGTTGGAAGGAGCATCTGTACCATCCTATTAAAAAAGAGCTATGTCCTTTATGTTGAAAAAGAAGAAATACAAATTTCAAGTGAACTTTCTTCTTGAAGATCTTACAGCAGTTCCTTTTGTGAATGGAATGCTGTTTGCAAAAGTACGCCTTTTGGATGGAGGAAGTTTTTCTGAAATGTCTTCCAGGTAAGTTAAAGTAGCAACACAAATATTCTTGTAACCTATCTATTCTTGCAAGCAAAAACACTTTACATATCATATGGCATATGCTACTCATCTGCCAGTTCTGTAGTTGTGTTTTATGAATTATTTACAATAAAATGATTGGTACACTTGTGTTAATTTCTTTTTTTTCCCCCTCATATCAAAGCCAAAACCAAAACTACTCAGATGAAGAAAAGTCCACTTTCTGAAAGCACTCGGGTTATTGGATTTCGTTTTTTATGACACACATTTTGTTGTAATGG